ATCACTGGACCTCAAGGTGCCCTTACAAAGACCTGGCATCACAAGCTGATGGATTGGATAAGACTGTTGCACCAGAGGCTACAACTGCTGCTCCTGGTGCAACGAAGGGAGCGTACGTACCTCCAGGTATGAGAGCAGGGGCAGAGAGGACTGGAACTGACATGAGACGTAGAAATGATGAGAACTCTGTTCGTGTGACCAACCTTTCAGAGGATACTAGAGAGCCTGACTTACTTGAGCTTTTCCGACCTTTTGGTGCTGTTAGCCGAGTTTATGTCGCTGTTGATCAAAAGACTGGCATGAGCAGAGGATTTGGTTTTGTAAACTTTGTGAACCGTGAGGATGCACAAAGAGCAATTAACAAACTCAATGGATATGGTTATGATAATCTCATCCTTAGAGTTGAGTGGGCTACTCCAAGGGCGACTTAAAGGTATGATTTCTCTTTCAAACTCTCTTATGATTTGCATACTCTTGTAGCTGGATTTTTCTCCCCAACATTTTGTTAATGTTTTCTTGAGATTACTCGAGTCCAGAAAATGATTGAATCAATTTTTTTGTACCGGTAATTTACATGTAGTGGATTTAATTCAATGACTCTGTGAGTTTACTTATTTGACTGTTTGAAGCTGGGAGAAATAGCAATGTTTTTACGTTTTCATAGCGTGTTAACAGTACTGAAATGAAAATACGTAAATGTAAAGGGAAAACCGTTGCTATTCATTAAGCTTTATACGTTATTGGATAATATGTTTTGACATGTGCATATTTTACAACGTTGAGAAGAAGCCATATGCTATGTTCCATCTTTGTTGAGCAGAGATGAGAAGCAATCCTAATTCCGTCTCATTGAATTTGTAGTTTATCTGTTTGAATTTTGAGCCACTGAAATGTCTGGCGAGAACCCAAAAGGGGGGTTGGAGTTTGAATGGAGGTTTAGTCCAAGGTCTTATAGGTGCTTTCGATTAAGTGAAAACCTCTATTGTAACGTTTATAGGTGCTTTTGGTATAGTAGAGTCTGAAAATCATAAACCAAAATAACATCGCTTATTGAGTAAATTGGTGTGAGTTTAGAAACAGCTTCTAAATTCATTTCTTAAATTACAGCTTCTAAGGTGATAGTTAATATTTTTCTTAGGGTGAAAAGAGGAGTAAGAAAGTGAACTGATATAGGAAACTAATTCTTCTAAGTAGTGGAAAGGTACATATTACACTCTGCTTGCCTGTTGATGAGTGAGCTAGTTCGTAGGCAATAGCTTGACCAAGAAATTAACAGGAGAATGGCTCAATTAAGGGAGAAGCCATTAGAGCTGTCATTCAAGAGTCTCTATGGAATTATTACCTGGTCCTCCCCTAAAGCCGTAGTGAGCATAGCACCCCCAAAATTTAGTAAATGGTTCAAACCCAAGTAGCAAAATGTAGTAGTATTCTAAATAGTGTCTTGTATCGTCAAAGGATTATTGTGGTGGTTGTAGATTTGAAGTTAGTGCTATAGGTTCAAACCCAACATAATGCAATGATGATTACCAGGAATAATTGAAGAGATTACAAAATATGACAGCCTTTTAGTTTGATTATCAAACTACTCCCGGTTCTATGAATGCAGTCTTTTTCAAATAATTGCAGTTTGGTGATGGTCTTTGGCTTGATCACCCGTTTTTTGGGTCGATTATGGCATACAGTACTCAAACTTTATGTTATCTCAATTTATCACAACAAGAATGTTTGTTGTTTAGTCATATTAAAAGCCTTCCTTTTGCCAAAGATAAGATTCATGAATTATAGGCTCACAAGTGTGATAGTTTGAAGATTGCAATCTTAGAAAGTAGATGCTAGTTTGCTAGATGTTTCATCCAGTCAATGCTAACAGAAAGGAAGAAAGAATATTTGATTGCATACTGGTGTGTGGGTATCTTCCTATATGACACCATTAAATTTTGACAGCAACGAGAGAGTAAAAGAAGTTTGAATTGCTCATTTTCACCTCTCCAAGTTGGGAAAAAAAATTTAATGGTGGTGTGTAGGAAGATAGCTCCACATCGGTGTGTAGCTCAGTATTGATCTCCCAAATTTGTTGCTGGACACTTTTTTGAGGTTTCTTCGAATTTCCTTGGCAAGAATTCCATCTTTATGAAAGTAAAAGCATCAAAGTTAGTTTGGAAAAAAAAAAAAAAAAACAAACAAACAACAATAATATTTTTGATGCATAATCTTTCTAAAAAGATGAGAAAAACAATCTTCCAAGACAAATTTTTAGCCAAATAATTTGAGTTGATGCTTTAATGATTCATAAGAAATGTTGGATCAAGTGATTCTTAGATAGTGATATTCATTATGGGGAGTCGCCCCGAACAAGGAAAAGATTCTCCGCTTAGATGGGGAGTGGCGAGAGATTGTGAAACCTTTTCTTTTCCGGTTAGATAAATGGGTTAGGGACAAGATTATATTTTCGGTCCCCTATTAATTCCTTGCTTTGGTTAACATAAATATATTTTTTGAAACTCAATTAGAAATATTTAAACTAATAGGAAAAAATTAATTATACAAAATTAAAAAATATCATAAATTAGTTTTTAGTTAAAAAAACAAAAACAAAGAGTTGAGTCTGAAATTGAAATTGACAATATCGAGAAAAAAAAAAAAAAACTCATTTGATTATTATTTTCTTTATTTAAAATTCATTAAGCTACAAGTATCACCATTTACATTAGATAGGTAAGAACCTTTGTAGCAGTAAAATACAAAAATCACGTGCCTAAACTTTTTGTTGTCGAATACACATCAATTAAATAAAAAAAATATTCCCAAGATGCCTAACATTAAAAAAGAAAAAAAAATAAAAAAATAAAAAAATTCCGGTGGAAAATCATGTTCATCAACCTATCACCGACACCTCCAAAACTGTTTTTCACTTTTTCTTTATTTATCAAAAATAATTTTATTAATTTATTAAAATAACTTAATTTGACTCAAAGTCCACAATAAAATTAACAAAAATTATTTCTCGTCCCAATGTTTTTTAGGTAAACAATTAAGACTGATTTTTTTTTTTTAATTTAGTTTATATTTATAGTGTTTAAATATAAATTAAAAATGAAAAAAATGAAAAAAAAAAAAAAAAGTGTCCCGTCAATAATTTAAATGGATATATGAAAAATGTTGATTGGCCTACCAAGTTGGACTAATGTGGCCCTTGCCTTTTGGGACTACTCTTCCTATCCACTCTCTATATTAAAAAAAAAAAAAAAATACATTTAATCTCTCTCCTAACAAATTATTATACCATAATTATCCCTTTAATAATCATTAAATATATATTTTAAAAAAATATTATCGTAGCAACTATAAACTATTTTAAATATTAATTAACCATAATTTCACACTTTTAGAATTTTAACCTATTTTTCTAATTCTCTCTCTTATTTAATCAATGGACAAATGTGATATGACATTATTTGCTATAATAATTAATAATATCATTTTAATCTTTAATTATTAGTCACTTTTTTGTTTCTCTCTCTCTTTATATATATATATATATATATATATATATATATATTTAACCATTTTCTTCTTGTTTCTCCTGTTTCTCTCTCCAACGATGCTTCAAGTCCAAGCTCCTACCGACCTCCGCCCCGGCAAAAATGGGCAATACAGAACCCTAATGGCGATTTTGGGCGGAGCCCTAGCCCTCTTGATCCTAATCACTATCCCCCTCACTTTCCCTCTCCTCAATTACTCCCTCCTCCTTCTCAAGGCCTCTCTCGAATCCCCCACCTCCGCCGCCTCCTCTGCTTTCCGCCCTCAAATCTTCGCCTCCGGCAACCTTTCCATTTTCTCCGCCCTCCCTTGCGATCTCGCCGTCGGCGAATGGATCCCCAATTCCAACCCTAACGCCGCTCCGCCTTACACCAATGATACCTGCTGGGCCATCCACGAGCACCTCAACTGCCTCAAGTACGGCCGCCCCGACCACGGATTCCTCCAGTGGCGGTGGCGGCCTGACGGGTGCGAGCTGCCTGCGTTTAATCCGGCGCAGTTTCTGGAGCTGATGAGACATAAGGCGTTCGCGTTTGTGGGGGATAATATTGCCAGGAATCACGTTCAATCGCTCATCTGCCTCTTGTCTAAGGTAAATTTCGTTGAAAAAGTTTTTTTTCCCCAATTATTTTTTATTTTTATTTAAATTATAAAAACTTTATATTATAGATCCATTTTAATGAATGTTGGGTAAATGGATGTGTCGGTCACGAATTTTATATTTTAGAGACGACATTTAATTTAAACAATTAGACTTTTTTTTCTTTCCAATTTTAATTTATGAATTATGTGAAAAAGTTTTGTGTGATTCATAATAATTTTGATGTGATTTTCTTCTCTTTTTGAAAATTGTGAATTATTTGGGATAGATTTTCTTTGATTGAATTTTTACTTTTTTTTGGAAAATGGTGTTGAAATTTGACTAATTTTTATAAATAATAATGGGTTTTATTTTTTTTATTATTTTTTTTTTTTAGAAATTCAAGTTTTCCCTTCACATTTTTTAAATTTATTTCTCAATTTTTTTCCAAATATTAATGGTAGTTATTTATAAATATTTAAAATGAATACCATATGGAATATTTTGTTTTAATAACTTGGAGTGTGCGATAAGTCACATAAGATTTTGGAATCTTTATATATATATATTTAATTATTTTAATTTTTGTAGATAAAAATCCAATATTTGTATGGGTAACTATCCTTCTCCTTTTTTCATTTAATATATATATATATATATCTAATAAATTTTTAAATTTTAAATTTTATGTTTAATAGATTTTAAAATTTTTAATTATTTAACACATATCTAGCTTACGCGTATAAACAATTATTAGAAAAAAAAACCCTCAAACAAGCCATGTGACATTGATCTAAATAATGCATTTAATATTATGAGAATCTTTACAGAGAACAATGACAGTGATTCCATCAAATTTCTCAATATAATTTTTTTTTTATTTTCTTTATTGAGTACTTTTGAGAATGACGTGGCAAGAATTCAAATCATTTGATTTCTTAATCGAGTTAGATCATCGAGACTAATATCTTTTTTATTTCTATGATTAAAAAGGATTAGGTAGCGATAATTTATGAATTTAAAACGTTTTGTAAACAAAAAGAAAAAGACATTATGAACACTAATGATGAAAGCAAGCTTAGTTTGTAATAGAACAATGTTGTTTCTTGATTTTTCAGGTGGAGTATCCAATAGATGTTTCACCTAGCAGAGATGAGCACTTCAAAAAATGGAAATACATGTCCTACAACTTCACTATGGCCTTTTTATGGACAACCCATCTCGTCAAATCACAAGAATCATCAACAAAAGGCGTGTTCGATCTGTACTTGGATGAGTTTGATGAAGCATGGACTTCCCAAATACCTGGCTTTGATTACGTGATGATCTCGTCTGGCCAATGGTTTCTCCACCCGCTGTATTTCCACGAGAACGGCCGAGTCATCGGCTGCCACGACTGCTTCCTCGACAACGTCACCGAGCTGGGAATCTACCATGGCTACAGAAAGGCCTTCAGAACAGCTTTCAAAGCCATTCTCACCTCAGAGAGCTTCAAGGGCATCACTTACTTGAGGACATTTGCACCAGCACACTTTGAGAATGGGCTGTGGAATCAAGGAGGGAACTGTTTGAGAACAGAGCCATTGAAGAGCAAAGATTCAGCATTGGAAGGTATGAACTTGGAGCTTTACATGACTCAAATGGAGGAGTTTAGGAGAGCTGAGAGAGAAGGGAGAAAGAAAGGGATTAAGTTCAGGTTGCTTGATACAACACAACCCATGTGGCTTAGACCAGATGGACACCCGAGTCAATATGGGCATTGGCCTCAGGGGAATGACAGCTCGTTGCTTAATGATTGTGTTCATTGGTGTCTGCCTGGTCCTATTGACATTTGGAGTGATTTCTTGCTTCACATGGTGAAGTTGGAAGGCATCAGATCAGCTCAAGAGAGAGCTCTGTTGGCTCATCAAACAGAATTGAATCAAAGATGAACTTGGATTTCTTGCTTGTTTTGGTTTTGATTCTTTAATCATTATTTGTTTTCTTCTCAAAACCCATTGCTGTTCATCTGTATTACTACTCCACCTATAAAATGAAAGAATGAATGACAATAAAACAGTCTATAGAAGTTTGTATCAGATGCATATTGTCAGTTGGTTTGTCTTGGAGATATCACGTTTATTCGATACGAGTAGGAAATGAACATAGCATGATATCAAGTTTCTGTTCATCTAATGAATCACAATGTACAGATTTGATCTGATGAATAGTCAGTGAGGAATCTCGGTGTGGTTGTTCCGAATGAATTTTTGATGAAAACCAGGATGTGCGGAGCTTAAGATGTAGAGCACCAAGGCAGGCCTGAGTCGCATCAATCTCTGTTAGCTAAGTGGTCTGAAACATTCTTATCCGACATGCTTATTCCAAGAGGATTCCGAGCAATGTTAGCCTCAAAGGAGCTGTAATGGCTCAAGCCCATCGCTAGTAGATATTGTCTACTTTGGCCCGTTACATATGACTGTTAGTCTCATGTTTTAAAACGTGTCTGTCAGGGAGAGGTTTCCACACCCTTATAAGGAATGACTCGATCTTCTCTCTAACTGATGTGGGATCTCACAATCCACCATTCTTGAGGGTCTAGCGTCCTTGTTGGCACATCGCCTGATGTCTTACTTTGATACCATTTATAACAGCCTAAGCTCACCGCTAACGGATATTGTCTGCTTTGGCCCGTTACGTATCGCTGTCAGTCTTATAGTTTTAAAACGTGTCTGCTAAGGAGAGATTTCCACATCCTTATAAGAAATGCTTCATTCTCCTCCCAACTGATGTGGGATCTCCACACCCTTATAAAGAATGTTTCATTCTCCTCTCCAACTGACGTGGGATCTCACAGCTACTCTATTTAATTGACCACGTACCATCAATAGGTTAGAGCTAATAATCTATTGAAATTTGTTAACAATTTTATTAAAGTTTTAACTTTTAAAAATATAAAAAAATGAGAAATTCGAATTAAAAGAAAAAAATTAAAATGGGAATATGTAATTATTATGTTTAATCTTATTAAAAAAAAAAAAAAAAAGTAATGGATGCATTTTTTATTTGGATTTGGATAATGTGACGTAATGAATAAGCAATTAACCGCTAATACAGAAGTTAGCAGCAAACAGATCTATAAAACGATGTCGTATAAATTGCAGCATTCGATGAAATAAAGAACAAGAAGCATCGGCTGTGAGGTGATGATCAGTATCAACGTCAAAAGGTGAAGAAACCAGTCCTCCTCCGTCTTCTCCTTGCAGTTACACACACAGAAAAATGGGGGAAATCAGCGAAGAAACTCAGAGGCTTAAGCGAATTGCGGCGGCGACTTACGACTACGACAACGACCCCCGATGGGCCGACTACTGGTCCAACATTCTCATTCCTCCCAACTTGGTTTCTCGCTCCGACGTCACCGATCACTTCAAACGAAAATTCTACCAGCGTTACATCGTCGGTTCTTTCTCTGATCTTTAGTTTGATCGTTAATGGTTGTGAAATGATAGAGTTAATTGGTTGATTTTTGTTTCTTGTTGGACACCCTTTCTTGGGTTATCTCGAATTTTGTGGTTTGCATTCTCGGGTTTTGTTAATTGTTTGTTTTTGTAAATGGGTATGGTTCTTGTTTTTCTTGTCTGATAGGTATTTCTTGAGCCCAGTTAGTTCTTGAGTTGTGGATTTATTGCGTGATTGTTCTGTAATCTCATTTATAATCTGTTGATATTGTGAAACTTGCCTTTTCTGGTATGTACTTTGATGTCTTCAGGATTCTTGTTGGTTGATTGGATTTGTTTTCTTGATTGAACAATGTATCTTTAAGCTTTCATCAAGCTTAAACCCTGTTGGGCTTATCTGTTTTCCTGGGTAGTTCGTCATTTTCATACATGAAGGGAATAAGTACACTCTTGTATGTTCATCTGAGGGCCTGTAACGTATCAAGATACTGTTCTTTATGCCTGAGCGATCAGTTAAGCTTCTATTTGATTCTGGGATTAATCACGTTTTATTGAGTGTTTTGTTGAATGGCTCATGTATATATCTATTATCATACCATTTGTTGTAAACATTGGATGAAACCCGAAGTTTTTATCATACCATTTGTAGTTTGCTTTAAGTACTGTTATTCACATATGCAGGATCCTAATCTTGTAGTTGAGACAATGTCTTCCAGCAGTTCATCATTTCAGCCAGGGAGGCAATCAGCACCTTCACCTCCTACAAATGATCAAACTCAGTCACAGAGCTCCGGTATGGGATTTATCATTAAGAAAGTTGCTTTCCAGAGCGGACTTGCATTGTAGATTACCATGTTTGTTACACGATTTACTAATTGGATTTTGTTTACGCTGACAATGTAGGGTCAACTACAAGAAATTCAGGAACATCGGCAACTACAGATTCAAATTGGCTGTTTTTACGCTGGGATCGACATAGGGTTCTTTTTTTGGTCAATGCTTGGGTAAAGTGAAATTCTTCAGCCATCCTAATATTTAGAAGTGTGTCAAGTAGACCTCTTAAGAATTAGACTTTATTTGCAGAATCAAGTCGGGTTTATCCAACCTTACGGGTTGCCATTCGTTATTTCCTGTAGGTGTTTCTCTTGACATCGTTTGCAATGATACCAATGGTTCCCAGAAACATTTCACATAGGGCGTATCAGATTTCTCTTATGGGCACTGCATGCTCCTCTCTATTCACCTTGTTCATTACTTGTGGGGTAAGTTTTTTGGTCAAGTAACTATTGCCTTCTAGTATACCTCAAGGTTCGTCTGACCTGTTTTATCTAGCAGACACCCAGGTCGTTCGATATGCAGGCTTTGGAAGTTTACTTCCAACCTGTCGTTGCAACAAAAGCTCTCGTCTACCTTATTTACTCCATTACCTTTGTAGCTTCAAATCTTTTCCTTAAACGTATAGCTGCTTTGCCTTTTACCCTTGTCTAACTTTATGCAGTTTTTGCTCAGTTATGCATGGTATAACGGTTTCTACCTCGTTGCAGTTGCTTTAATTCCAATTATATGCGTAGCTGTTGAGCAGATTGCCAAGTTCGTTCGGCATAATTTCCCCCGATCCGCCTTCTACAGGTAAAGTGGCAAGGTTTCTCTCAAGTTAAGTTGTTCACTTGTACAAGCTAAAGAGATTGGCTTAATCTGAGTATATGAACACAAAGTAACTCATTTTGTTCTTAGTTTTCTCTAGATAACTGAGCTGTGCTTGAACTTTCTTCACTTAATGATTACCATATATTTAGATTTGAATTTCACTTTCTGTGTGGATTGGAGCACTCATTGATCTGATTGGTTGCTTAGGAAATGCTTGGAGCGGCCTTGTGCTTGGGCGGAATCAAATACAACCACACTTTGTCTTCTGTCTTCAAATGTTGAGATTGCACTGGGTTTCCTTCTGATCATCTCCTTATTCACGTCAGTTCCTCGTCGTCGTCTTTTTCATTTCCATCATTAACAATCCTTTCTTTCTGTTAATCCATCGCCTCGGTTTCTCTATGCAGATGGCAGCGAAACTTCGTGCAAACATTCATGTACTGGCAGGTTGGTTCCTTCTGTCTCTCGTTTGGCTTGCACGAAACAGCAGCGTAGCTAACTCGAGCACACCCATTTCAGAGAATCAATGGTACTAACTTCCTTGAAACTGTGTGGTTTGCAGCTACTGAAGCTGATGTATCACTTCCCCATGACTGCTGGGTATCATCAAAGTGCGTGGGCTAAGATTGGGAGAAAAGTTAATCCATTTGTGAGCAGATTTCTCCCATTTTTGAAGCCTTTACTTTCTGCAGCTCAAAGATGGTGGATCAGGTAGAGAAACCAAGAACAAGAAAGTGGTTTCTGTTAGTTTGCATTTAGTTTACTGAATATATTCATTGTTTCTTAGAAGATAGTCATATATTCATGACAGAAGCTGCCTCATGAACCCTGTTGTTTTGGGGTTTTTGTATGCATATTATGAAGCAGGGCAGGACTACTTGTTATGAATCATGATATTACTTTAGCAACTGAGATTTGTGATGATAATATGATATATATACATATATACAACCTCTCAAGAATTAGACTTTATATCAAATATTCAATTAACAAAGCTATAATCTTCAATTCAAGTGATATTAATTCTATGGTTGCAGTGATACCAACCATTGGTTATTGAATGGTGTTGGGCTCGCCATTTCAGTATGTCATAAACATCCATATCATATTCTAAATATTCTCTCCACAATTTCACATTCAATTTTTTTAAATAAAATAAAGGGTATTTTTAAAAGAAAACAAAAGGTCGAGCTCAATCCTTACAATTAGGATGTACATGGGTCGAGTTTAGTTGGATTGAGTAAATTTTTAGGTTGACTCAATATTTTTATCAACCATTTGTTTTTAGGTTGGGTTTGGCAAATTTTTTTCGGCATAACTTGGACGTTTACAAGAATGAAACTCAAAGGAATTGATGGGGACCCGCACAAGCGGTGGAGAATGTGGTTTAATTCGATGCAAAGCGAAGAACCTTACCAGGGCTTGACATGCCGCGAATCCTCTTGAAAGAGGGGTGCCTTTGGGAACGCGGACATAGGTGTGCATGACTGTCATCAGCTCGTGTCGTAAGGTGTTGGGTTAAGTCCTGCATCGAGCGCAACCCTCGTGTTTAGTTGCCAACCGTTGAGGTTGGAACACTGAGCAAACTGCCGATGATAAGTCGGAGGAAGGTGAGGATGACGTCAAGTCATCATGCCCCTTATGCCCTAGGCGACACACGTACTACAATGCCCAGGACAAAAGGTCGTGATCCCGCAAGGGTGAGCTAACTCCAAAAACTCGAAAAATTGTCATGAACTTGAAATTTGATCTAATCCGACCCTTATAATTTGGATTGGGTTGGGAGTGGAAGGTTTTTTTTTTTTTTTTTGTTTTTTCAGTTTTCCAAATTTCTTTATAATTTTAAAAACATTTTCAAAATTTTTTAAACCAAAAACTAATATTACTAGACAGATCGTTATTCGGTGTGCCACGTAAGCACCACGCGTCAATCTGACTGTAATTTTGAAGCTTTGACTTGTTTTATTATTTAAATTCGTTACGCAAAAACACATCACGAATTTGCAAATACAAAATGGAACCTGACAGCTTTCGAATGTGCCATTCAAGCAAAAATCCAAGGTGGATCAGACCACTGATCTTGAAAAAAACGCGTTCATTTTTCAATTCTGAATCTCAGAATCGGCTTCGATCCCTTCGCTTCTCATCTCCTACGGCCGTCCATGGCGGCTACGGCTGACCGGCTCCGCCCTGTCGTGACGTTTGCCGGCCAGGGGATTCGGTTTGATCAGGATTCGGCGGAGACTCCCCCTCTGCTCTCTAGGATGTTGTCTTATCCGATTGGGATTATTCACCACCAGTTGAGCCGCCGTCTTGGTGCCGGGAAGCCACAACCACCGCGGCGTCAGCAGTCTTTTAGTCGAGATTTTGGTCATGCTGCTGCGGAGACCGTTCTTGTTACTCGGTTGAGCTTCACTCTCCTTCGATCTCTTGGGTAATGTGGAAATGGATTCTCTCTGCCTCTCTCTTAACACTTGTACGCATTGCGGACTCATGCACATATGCCGATTATTTGGATTTCGAAAACCTGAATGTGAATTCGCAGCTGGTTTTGAAGTCCTACAAAGATGTCAATTCTTATTTCTATTCCTGTTTTATTTACTCTTTGTTCCCTGAGGAAAGGAAATGGAAAGGATTCGTAGTTCGTAGCTTGAAATTTTACGCCTTCTGCTCTGAGGGAATACTTTAATCATGAAATCCCTTATTTTATTAATTTCGTTTGTTCGAACTTGAGAATCTGCAAAAATTTTATTTAATCATGGAATCTCTACATCATATTAGTTTTGCTCTTTCAGTGAGCTCTTCCTCTCGCTATATCATGATCCCTTCTTTTCATTCAGGGTAGGGTACCGGTGGATCGTAAGATTAACTGCACTTGCAGTGTATGCCATTCTTCTTATGCCCGGTTTTCTTCAAGGTATTTGCTGCATAGCTTATTCGCTTTGAACATTTCTTCTTTTTCCTGTAAATGATTCTTGGGATTTTGTTGTCCTTGGAAGAAATAGTAAAATTAAATTTGGGGTGGAGTTTTTATATTGTACAAGTTGCAAATTAAAGCACTCTTAGAAGCCTCTGCTCAAATTAGTCTTGCTTTCCTCCCAAGCCTCTTGAAGTTCGTAAGAGGCCATGCCTTCCTTGCTAACTTCTTAATAACTCTCTTCTGGGCTATCATTTTTATACTTTGAGTAAACTCACTCGAACAATGGTCATGTTTTATAATACTTAGCCTAATGAAACTTTTACTGTATAAATACTCTAGTTAGGGACCTCTAAGCAAGGGGGTCTAGGTTACATTGTTTAAATTTTCTGTAAAGTAGCATTTTGTGCACTTCAGTCCATGGATATGCGAGCACACAATCTGTAATACTTGCCTTCATTTTCAACATTTTCATGACATTCTGAAATAAGAACTTATCGTGCTCTCGTATTGCTGTTGCCATCTCAATTTACTGAAATTTTGATCAAAATTTTATTATTGGAAAAGTTCCCGCATTAATGCTTGTACTGGATAAATGGGCGTATCTGATTTCCTTTCATTTACAACAGTTATGTATGATTATTTCTTCTCAAGTCAGATTCGGAGGAATATTATTTATGGAAATCAACCAAGAAATTGGTAGGTGTTCTCCTTGGATAGGTAATTGTTATGTTTGTTTTTTCACTCTGACCCTTATCTAAACCATTTTTCTTCTTCTTTGAGTGATGTTTCAGCTTGGATTTGTATTTACCTACAAATACTGATGAAAAAAAACCAGTTGTGATATTTGTTAGTGGCGGAGCTTGGATTATTGGGTGAGTGATCCGACGTTGATGGCATTTTGCTTGTCCATCCTGAAAAGGTTTTTGGTATTGGCTTCATTCAGCTCTTAAAAACCTCTTCTTCATAAGCTATAAAATTTTCTACTACAATACATTAATCCATATTATTATTAATCAATCAAGAATTCGTGATGATATCTAGTCAAGATCCTTAGGAGTTTTATTCCTTTCCAACCACATTTTGTCCATGAGGACTATAGTTGCAATAACCATAAGATTTCTTTTTGCGTCTTTATGGGGCAACTCTTATGAATTATGGTGAACTAAAATGGCCAAATCACCTTCATGTACCAACTTAACAAGTTGATTTGTGTAACTATCTATTCATGGAAGCTTCTTTTGCTTCTTAATGGCAATACGATTTTGACGGTTATTTTCTAATGTTTATTAATGATTCAGGAATAAAGCATGGGGAGCTCTTTTAGGAATGCAGTTGGCAGAGAGAGATGTCATTGTAGCCTCAATTGACTATAGGTAATGCATTATGTTCAAGCATTATCATGGTGAACTTAGTGAGGCTACTTTAGTTCAAAGAAGGAAGAAAACTTACTAGTCCTGCAAATTGTTCTCTGTTAGACTCTTTTTACTAGTCCTGTAAGAAACTTGTCTGAATACCATGTGTCAATCTAAGACACTCTGATGTTTGTGGTCATGGGTAGGATGCTTGTTAGCCCAATAGATATATACATCAAATCTAGTCTTTGAGTCTGACACTTGCTAATCACGTACCAAACATTTGTGAAGCATAATAAGTGGGCATAAATAATAATATATGACAAGAATAATAAATTTTGAGTAGTGTGATTCATCAAACTCTATTTTAATAAACGTGTCCTCGCCATATCATATCCATAGCTTCGGTGCCTTGTGTCTGTATGCATGCTTCCAATATGTCAAATGATCAATTTGAATCAGTCAACTCTGTGGTCAGAAGTATATGCATCTACTAGAGTTTGTCTCTTAATCTGTGAACTTTCTACTTGCAGAAATTTCCCGCAGGGTACCATTAGTGACATGGTGACAGATGTCTCTCAAGGGATCTCATTTGTCTGCAAGAATATAGCAGACTATGGAGGAGATCCGGACAGGTGACTGGATAATTTCTTCATTTTCTCATGCCCGTCTTATGTTCACTATCTTATTACTTTATTTTGCCCCCTCTGAATAGAATCTTTCTAATGGGACAATCAGCTGGTGCACATATTTCCGTTTGTGCCCTCTTGGAGCAAGCAATCAAAGAAGCTGGAAAAGGAGAGAGCGTAGATTGGAGTGTTTCCCAAATGAAAGCTTATTTTGGTTTATCTGGAGGGTAAATTTCTACCCCTTTTTCATTGTTATGGAATTTAAGGGATTCCCAGGAATTATGTGATTCGGCTACAATTAAATAGCATGCTTTCCCGTTGTTGTTAAACTTTTTTCTTCTTTTCAAAAGACCACCTTAGATGAAGTACTTTTTATTTTACTCTCGTGCTTAAAAGGTGCTAGACAGACTAGATGAACAAGATAAGAGACGAATAAGAAAGAGAAAATGTTGAACCATAACAATGCTCGTTCTTACTTTTCCTAGATTTGTGCAATAAAAAGGCTGGTTGTTGCTAATTAATGGTCCTAATACTGAATTTAACCTCTCAACCTCATCTCTGGAGCTCTAACAACAAATCCCTCCCCTTTGGGCTTCAATAAATTCTATGATCATGTTTTTTCATTGGCTCTCGGCTGGTGTAAATGCTTTTACTTTACTTTCACAGAGTATGGCTTAAGGGACCCCATGAAAAACTGAAAGGATTTTCTATGACCTGTTGGTTGGTCCTTTTTCATGTCAATGGTCTATATGTCCTGCAACTTCTCTCAAATTCATTGTTATCTATATGAGGAGTCAAGGAAAATGCCTTGCATTCTATACATTTTAAAAGTTGAGGACCACACATTTTAGGATTGAATTTCACAAACAGATCATTAGTTAAAATGTAATCATAGTATTCTTGCCCGAAAGCAGTTGAAACATCTTTAATTGACCATTGATTTTCATATTCATTTCATTACTAATGCTTCTATCGTAGGCTGCCCTTTCCCATTTAGAAAATCCTAGTTATGATTACTAAGCAATTTTCTTTCTTGTCTGGCTCATGCATAAGGACCCTGTACTGAAGTTTCCTTTTCTAAATTCTGTGGCAGTTATAACTTGTCAAAACTAGTTGAGCACTTCGATAGTCGGGGTCTATATCGTTCTCTCTTTTTGAGGTAGGTCCTAAATGTCATGTTTCTCTTCATTAACGGACTGATTGACGTCAACTTATTCTTCTTCAATTTATTTCAACGTGTGTCTGTAGCATAATGGAAGGTGAAGAATCTTTGGCCCAATTTTCCCCTGAAATAAGAATCCAAGATCCTAGCATCAGAGATGCTGTATCCAGCTTACCTCCTTTCGTTCTTTTTCATGGTACTGGTGATTACTCAATCCCATCGGATGCCAGGTTAGTGCGTTTCTCTTATTGAATTGATAGTAGATGAATGCTCATAAATTATTCTCATGTCACCATTCTGTGCACTTAAGTCACCTATTATTTCAAATTATGGAATGGTGAAGTATTGCAATCTTTAATTTTGCATAATGTATGTTTAGTGGTGTACACTATGTACTTGGAATGGAAAGAAAAAACTCGTGCTACACCTTCTATTTATCTGGACTTAATAGATGCTTGCTAACAAGCTCCTGCTCTCATACTACTATATAAATTATGTATAGCTATGAAATCAGTAAAAATTAAAAAAGGTCCAATTATGCTCTACATGTGCTGCTCCCAATTTCAAGAATCACTTGGGCATCAAAAATAGAATCCTATTCTCATGGTCGGATGCTAATTTGAAATTTGCAGTGTAACTTTTGTGGAGACACTCCGAAAAGTAGGGGCACAAGCTAACTTATTTCTCTACGAGGGAAAAACTCATACAGATTTGTTCCTTCAGGTAAGCCGACCTTCAAAGTTCTGTCGTATCTTTTGTTTCATGTTCTACTTGGGAAGATGAGAGATCGCAGCTGGCATCACTCAACAAAGTCATTTTGTGAAACTCCTGATGATATTTTGCAGGATCCTTTTCGTGGAGGCAGTTATGAACTTTTTGATCAATTAGTTGCCATATTACATGCTGGCGACGAGGAAGCTCTTGCAAAGGATTCCATGGCACCGCCAAAACCGCGTCTTGTTCCAGAGATTTTGATAGGATTGGCACGAATGGTTAGCCCTTTCTGAAGCCCTCCTCGTTTCTTTATGCTTTTCACAAACAAATGACATCAAAATATTACCATTCTGTTCTCCTGTGTTATTGACTATATGTATAATCGTAGTATGCTTTGGAAGCTCCTGAATCCAGTCTGCAATTGTAGTTGCAGCAGAGCATTCAAAACTTTTATTCCTTTCATTGTGTAGCATTATTGTTATCTGTAGTGCTCTTGTTGGTTTAGAAGTAGCAAGCCTAAGATTACCCATTGATTATGTTGTATTATTGTTTGAATACTTCATACCAATTCGTTTATTCAATTTCGAATGTGCAATGTTCTAGTACAAGACATTCACCTAGAGGTTGTTATCGTCGAGAGTTAACTAGGTCATCATCGTCTTCCTGACTCGTACTAGACAAAGATGATCTAAAAGGTTTCAAGGGCGGGCAAACCGTAAGAGTATGTAATTAATCTACAATTGGCTCATAAATTGACCAAGTTTCAAAGCATTTCATTACATTTTAAATTTTGTAGACATTCATCCATCTTTATTTCAATACATTTCATTTTCAAACTATATTTCTTTAGAAAAAGAAGTACAATCTTTAATTTTGCTGATGCATTTCATGATCATACCTGGAGAACATAGATATAAGAACCATTCCCTATGTTTATATATATATATAGCTTCTGCCCATTTGAGTTGATTGAATGAACTCAACTAGGTATTGTATCAGACCAGAGGCTCCACTCCTCTTCCAACTTTCAAACATTTTAATATTAATATCAAACACCGCACCTCTACATGCTTTTGTTCTTGTCTGTTTTTTTTTCTTTTGCAGCTTTCCTCATTCTGTTTCTCCACATAACATTCTCTCTCTCCTTCTTTATTTTTCTTTTTCTCTCTCTAGATTGTCTCATTTCATGATACCTTTGCATGTCTACATGCTGTGTTTCTTGTCTGGTTTTTTTTTCCACGTTTTCATCTTCTTTTTAGAGTAGGCTAATGTAATTTTACAGAGACATCATATGAAAGATATATATATGGGATGGATTTGACCATTGTCTGAATCAGTGGATTTGCGTTTGGCAGTAAAATTTTCTGTTTGTTTCCTGGGAATCGGTGAAAGGAAACGCAGTGTGTAACATTGATCATCTCATCCCAATTGGGTTTTCTGTACTGCTAAAATTTAAAAACTTTTGTCTTTTTTAATTGGTGGATTATTTCAATTTAATCACTATTGTTTATAAGTTTTTAGTTTAATTTAATCAAGAGTAGTGGTTTTCTTTTGTTTCTTTCTTTCTAAAATTCTGTTGAGATTTGACAATGTTTTTGAGAAGTGGGAAAAAGGGTTAATAGTAACTGCAGCGGTGTAGCCGGCTGGGTAAGCGGTTGGCCGAATACGTCTTCAGCGGGCGGCGGGTATGGGGTCACAGGGGTGGGTCTGGTCTGGTCTGGGTGTGGGGGCCTGGTGGTTTCAAGTTGCAGCCTTCGGGAATGGATCGATTCCAGACGTAAGGCAGCAGACTTCTCAGATTGTGAGTCAAATCGTCGGATGTCGACGGCCGGCAGACTGGTTTATTAAAATAGGATTTGCCGATTTGGGAGGGAGGAACTCGAACTAGAAACCCTAGAAGAGACGGAAAAATGAAGAAGGTCTGGGTCTCTGCCACGTGGCAGATAGGATGAAATGCACGGTCATGATGGAGCAATTTTTTCCACCCTTTTCCTTTTCTTCTTTCTTCTTTTTTTTAATTAAAATTTAGTCATTTATAATTAAAAAAAAAATTATAATTTAGTCCAAATGAGGGGAATGAATGTGTTTTAAAACTTGTTTAGTAGACATGTTTTAAAACTAAAAAAGTATGAGGCTAACGACGATATGTAATAGACCAAAACAGATAATATTCGATAGTTATATGCTTGAGCTCTTACAAGGTAAAACCGTATTGTGTTCAAGTCATGAAATATCGCTTGGGCTCTTACCAGGTAAGACCGGATTGTGTTCAAGTCATGAAATCTACGATAGGCTTGAGCTCTTATTAGGTAAGACCCTATTGTGTTCAAGTCATGAAATCAACAATTAGACGTCGAGTTCATAAGTCTTCTTACTATTCTAATCAAACGTTAATTTATATTAATTTTATTAACGGAAATAAAATAAAGGAGGGTTTGTTGCAAGTCATTTCATAGAGGTAGGGGGTTAAATTGCAAAGCAGATGGGGCCTGGGTGTGGCTTCAAAGGGCTGTTTGGCAAAAGAGAATACGGATGTTTGATCGGCCACACAATCAAAAACCATTGTCCACATTACCCCTACCCTTCCCCCCTCCCTACTCTCTGTTCCATTCAAATCACTCTTTTCTTTCTCTTCTTCTTTTCATTCCATTAGTGATTATCCCTTATTATTAACTATGTATATCCATCATTACTCTCTACTAATCACCTTTAATCTCTCTCTTATATACCTTAACACACTCTTCACATCCTTTGATTCAAACCCTCTTCTTTACCCACCAAATAGATATCTATTTGGAATGTTCTTCCTCAACTTTGTTCCACATCTATTTTGTTTAAGCTTCTAACTCAATTCATTCTTATGCTCAACCTTGCTAGATTTATGTGTTTCTCATACCAAGTTTCATTTACACAATAACAAGAATTAGATTTCGTGATATGTCACGATTAAGTAGAGAAACGATTTGAGATCCCTGGGGAACGAAACATTCTTTATAAGGGTGTGGAAACCTCTCCTTAACAAAAACGTTTTAAAATCGTGAGACTAATGACAAATCGTGGGTTTGAGCTGTTTTTTTGTTTTTAACGATACTTGCTTTTGATTAACATATAAACAAAATCCTTTGACAATTGTGAGACATCAATGATTCAAAAAGATTAGGTCAAAGGAAAGAACAAAACCATGATTGTAATTGAATCACTATCACTTCTAAACACTTGATCCAATAAACTTTTGTTCTAACAACTGAACTAACTCTTAGTGCATAAACATTGCCAAACTACAAACAAAAAGGGGACGCTATGTTGCTAATGTTTCATGTCAATCATTTTTTTTTTTTTTTATTGTTACTTGTTCTTCATGATCTTCCATTCTTCTTAAATCTTTCTTACTTGCTTAAGTAATTAAGAACTTATTCTCCTTCTTCAATGTTCATACCAACTCATCATTAATTTTGGCACATACAATGATATGTCCCTAGCAATAAATTCAAAAGATCCCAACTCCAGTGAAGACATGCAAGAGCCATACACAAATCAAAACATGATCTAATTATTTTAATAAAGCAAGAAAAAACATCAACACCACCAGTCTTTACTTATTGTAATATAATAAATAAAAACATTCAAGTAGTAGTTCAAGAAAAACCCATCTAAAATTAGCCATGTTTTGATCTTGTTTGCTTCATTTGATCCCTGATGTGTTCATACGCGTTTGCAATAAGCTCTCAAATCCTGAAGAACAATTTGAGAAAAATCAAAACTTTTTAGGGGAAAAAAAATGAAAAATCTTAAGCCTTAGAGTGTTGAAATTACCTGAAGATCAATTTTACTTGGGAAATGGATAATTGGGGTTGCTATTGCCCTCCCAATTTTGAGTTAAGTTTATAGGAATGCCATCAATGGAAATGAGGAGATTTCTCTGTGAAGAACCAGAAATAATGGAAGGCTTCCATTTCCTCTTGATCATGGAGGGTTCTTGGAGATGCCCTTTTGAGGCCTTCATTTGATCCAAAAACTTCCATTGAGAGGCTTCGGCATCGTTATCTCGGCACAATTTCATCTCATCGTCCTCGATGAACTTTTTCGCATAAAGTTTTCTCTTGTTCATGAACGAGGATTCCTCCATTGATAGATTTGAAGTTTCACCGCCATGAACGTCGATTTTTCCGTCGTCGTCGTCACCGTTTTCATCATCCACTTGCTTCTTCTCCTTAGCCTTGGCTCTTGATTGTTTAGCAAGAAGATTAAAAACTTCAACTTTATTAGTCATTTCCTCTTCTTCTTCAACATCTGAAGCCAAAGACATTCTTCTAGCTCCACCAACAACCTCAAAATTTCCATATTTGGTCCTTGAAAGCTCTTTAATTGCTTTTTTGGATTTGCTAAAAAGCCACTCTAGGGTTTTGCTTGCTTTGTCATACCCTAACATGTCTTGCAAATCAAAGAACTTACGAGCTATGTCAATGGACAATCTCACTCTCCGATCCCGTAAACCTTGAGCCGTGTAAATCTTGCTATGTCGGTCCTTCTTCCCCGACCCCATTCTCGCCCCAGAAGCACTCGGAATGTTGCCAAAAGCTTGAACGTTGCTCCCCGCCACCGCAAAATTGATCACGGCCTCCGGTGTTGTGGACGTCGAGAAGTGGCCAATGGGAAGATAGGGAGCCAAAAAAGAGACAGGATCTTGGTGGGGTTGATGGAAATTGAAAGTTGTGGCTGTTGGCTCAGAGTTGAGAAGTGAAGGAATTGAGAGAGGGAGATTATAGGAAGCAGTGGAAGGAGAAGGAAAGTAAGGAAAAGGGTTGAGATTATAGCTTGAAGAACCCATTTTTGTTCAATTTTTCAAAGGATTTTGGCAATGAAATGAAGCTCAAACACCTCTACCCATTAAAGATCTTATGTTCTTCTTTGATTTGAGGTCAGATTTTTAGGTTTTGGAGTTCGAGAGAAAGGGAGGAATAGAGGACAGAAGTGGGTGGGTGTGGCTATGAGCAAAAAGAAAATGGGCCCTTAAACGTGGGAGATTGTCACTTCAACAAACCCTTCTATAAAACATTCATAGTTTCAGTTCTAAATTGCTAGGGTTTAGTTATAAATGTGTTAGGGATGTATAGCTCATCTGTACTCATTTCAATCACATAGATACCTTCAAAACATGAAGTGGGTATCAAAAAATGATGAGTTGAATAGCTATTGAATCTTAGGCTGTTGATCAGAAACCATTATGTCATGCTGAGTGAGTTAATAAAAAAAAAGGCTTCTGAATTGTTAGAGACTAGAAGAGAGCCCTGTAAATTAGTGTCATATTGCCCTTAACTATAGGGTTAGTCCACATAGCTACTACTAGAGATCCCTTCCCTTGTAGGTTTGAATTTTTTTGGAACCAACAAAAGCTTAGATCTTACCGCCTAGATTCATCAAGCAGATATTGTTATCTTTGAGCTTCCCCTCAAAACTTTAAAATGCGTTTGCTAAGAGAAGTTTTCAACACCTTTATAAATGGTGTTTTGTTCTCCTCTCCAACCAATGTGAGACATCACAGTTAGCTTGTTAAACTAGTTGAATTAAGGTTATGAAAAATTTTGAATTTTAAGAGTAGAAATTGGAGTTGACCAAGTCAATATCAACTAGGATAGGTTAAAATAATTTTTGGGGAGTTTATTAATGTTCTAAATTAAGAGAAATGAAAAAAATATATTAAAAAATAGGAGACTCTTTGGTTGCTACTAAGATATGACTGTACTGTTGGAACGCCTTAGGGCTAGGTTGGATGTCTATTGTTGCTTTGACGTTTATGTAATTGTTTGAAAATATTAAGTTATGAGTGTTATGAGATGGGAATAAATGTATGCATATCGAGTATGTTAATGAAGATGTTGATATATATAAACGATCTTCTATGTTGCATCATGTTAATAAATTGATATGTTTGCATGTGAGACCTCGTACATTTGTGTGCTCATAAAAGTCGTGAAACAGGAAATATGTTACCTTTGTTTATATAAGAATTGACTACATGAAAGTGATATACGTAAGGTCGTTGTGCATGAAAGTGACGTCCATCTATGCACGAAGATGATGCATGCCAAAAAGACCTAGGGCGCATAAAAGTGATACTCGCCTAACGTTTTTGGTATACATGAAAGTGATGTACATGAAACTAAAGACGAAATAACACATAACATTGAAAAGAAACCGTTTGATTAAGAAATCGTCGAATGTTGGAAAAGAAATCTTTATGAAATTATTTTTTGATATGGACTAAATGAAAAATACATTGACGAGGTTTAAAAAGACATGTATTAGAGGCTTTTGTTAAAGACAACAACATCATGTGTTGACAAGAAAGTTCCTCGGAGACAGCATGTACAACATGTAACATCCTTACCTGCTTAAACTTGACCTCTTATGAATATCACTCTGTAAAGATTGCAACATTAATAAAGTTTCTGCTGTTCTCTTTTGTGCCCCTCTGTCATGCTCTCTCCGCTCGACATGTGTCACCTGACAATATTCCAAAGAACCATGTCTATTCGTATATTTATTTTAACGATATTATTTAGAGATAATCTAATTGGAAATAGCTATGTTCTATGTCAACGAATAGACGTGTTTGCTTGTAATATCGAAACGTATTTATTTATTGTATCCAAATTTCTGTAGCCTCGAAGGTGTTACTCACTTGTTTACTGGTCGATCCAGCTAAATGAAGGACATGGTTGTTGATGAATTAAGATGAACCCTAGTTTGAATTAAATAGGTGCTTTTCTGGCATGACCAATTGATGAGACATGATAGGACCTCTGAACTCCCATTTGTGTACAAAATCATTGGTGCTCATTTTTACTTTGGAATTTGGAAAATGGGTTGGTTTCCAATTACCCATTACCTGTTGCCATCTCATCATTTCATTCTTTCTTACCAAACACGATTTTACGTTAATTAGAGAGTAGAATGAAACATTCTTTATAAAAATGTGTAAACTTCTCTCTAACATATGCGTTTTAAAGTCGTGGGCTGACGATAATACACAATAGGCCAAAGGGACAATACCTTCTAGAGGTAGACTTGGTCTACTACATTATATACCTTCATGATTTATAAGAGATATCCGAGTCTCGTTTATGTGAAGTTCATGGCATTATCGAGATGTCTATTTATCTCTTGAAGTGGGTAGAGAATAGAAGATGGAGTGAAGAGAAATTTCTCGAGACAGATTTCCCTTCCACTTTCTACAATCATTATATTTTGTTTTTGAATAATAATTCAAAGTTGGTAAAACGGAGGGGTCAAAAATTTTCGCTCAACATCTAGAGTTTTACGACTATGATTGTAATATTTTTCGCTCCGTGTTCGGTTAACTCTGATGTTATGTTTTGAGAAGGAATCAAATGTGAAGTTGTTGGTACAAAAGGTGACAAATATATGAGATGAAGAGGAAAACTATTCTGAAAAATGTTGCAAATTAAGATATTTATTAAATATTCTTTTGACCATCTGCTCGCCGTTTTTGTCCATACCTTTTCCAACAGTATTGTCTGGTCAAAGTCAAAAGTTAAATAATTCAATACAAAATAATAATAATAATAATAATAAAAATGTAGAGAAGTTAAATAAATTGTGCAACATTGTTTGAACCCAAATTTATTATAATTTTAAGTCATAACATTCTAAATAATTTATTTTAAATTTATTACTTTGTATTTATTTAAAATTTTAATTTAAGTAAACCTGGTTCCTATTTCACTAATGATAAAGATATTTTAGAATATTTTTATTAATTTGGCGTTTTAAAATAATTGAAATATTGTATCAATTTTTTATAGTTTTATATTCACATGAATAAATCCCTTAATTTAAAAATGAATGTCTTGGGCCATGTCCAATCGAGCCCATATTGATAGCTCAAAGCCCAGATGAAAGTTAACTAGAGCCCATATTGATAGCCCAAAGCCCAGATGAAAAGTTAACTAGAGCCCATATTGATAGCCCAAAGCCCAGATGAAAAGTTACATAGAGCCCATATTGATAGCCCAAAGCCCAGATGAAAAGTTAACTAGAGCCCATATTGATAGCCCAAAGCCCAGATGAAAAGTTACATAGAGCCCATATTGATAGCCCAAAGCCCAGATGAAAAGTTAACTAGAGCCCATATTGATAGCCCAAAGCCCAGATGAAAAGTTACATAGAGCCCATATTGATAGCCCAAAGCCCAGATGAAAAGTTAACTAGAGCCCATATTGATAGCCCAAAGCCCAGATGAAAAGTTACATAGAGCCCATATTGATAGCCCAAAGCCCAGATGAAAAGTTAGCTAGAGCCCATATTGATAGCCCAAAGCCCAGATGAAAAGTTAACTTAAAACCAAAATCAAAAAAGAAAATTAAATTTATTTATTTTTGTTGATATTTTTTCGTTGGGTAGAAAAGTAAACAGTACGGACGGGTAGGATAGAGACAGATCGCTAATTATTACGCACTTATTGCACGTGCGAGAGTGTTTTTATTTCTTTTAAATGTTCTGGGACCCACCTTATATTCACACGGTCAGTTTCGTTTTAATGCTTTTTTTTTCATTATTGTTTTTAATAATTTCTTTTTTCTATTTTCAAATTAGATACAAAAATATATATATATATATATAGATCAACTAAATTGACAAAACTGTCCCATCGACTTTATTATAATTTTGAGAAATTAACTTTTTTAGCCTATAAAATAATTTTGAATCTTACCAATTCAATTCTATTAAAGTTATTAGTGAATTTATCAACTACGTTCCAAATTGGTAAAAAAAATAATTTTTCTAAGGTCAGAAATGATAATTAAAGAGGGTCATTTGAGTCCAAGTGGTTGACCACTACGAGTATCGATCAAGTTTGTGCCCTTTGGTATCGAATCCCTTGACGTTTGAGGTCAACATCCAAGAGACCACATCATTAACCCTTGAGGCTTAGGTGATGGTTGAGAAGGCTAAGGCCTTCCGTCTCGACTTCTATTTAAGAAATTATTTGACTAAGTAACCATCCAACCTTACAATCGTTCTACACACTTGACGTGTCGTGATAGTTACGATAAAATTACAGCACTTTATTATGAGAACATTTTCTAACCTACCATATAACAGGATGAATTTGTTCATGATCACTATCCTAAGTACATAGTAATTTGTAGGCAAAATATCATGTGGTTATCGATCTTCTAATAGAGCTAGATCATTTCATTGCCAAGAAGACAAAGGTGGAAAATAAGAGTATGAAATCATTAGGCAAAATATTTAAAATGTCTCTCTATTATTTACATTTGAAGGCATGAAGAAGTAAAGCAAAACAAGAGTGAGTTTCGAGTTAGTCGTGCGAGCAGATGATCATCACGATACAGCTACGAATAATATAAAGTCTTCCCTTTTGTTGTCTAATATAACCTCCAAAGGATGATTTTGATATCCATGAAAGCTTCTTCTTCTTCCTCGTCTCTTCTCCCATGGTAGCATCTGCAAGTCTAGTGCTTCTACTCATCTTCTTCTTCTTCTTCTACCCTTTTGGACTGTGTGTATGATCAGCAAGCTTAAGGCAATAGGCGGAGGGGTCTGAATTTATATAGAGAAAGGGAAAGGAAAGCCTGTGTTCCTCTCTCTCTCTTGGGGTTATGAAACAGCATTTATTTGGGGATTCAACTACCAAGAAATTTTGTCGGCCATTGATTATTAAATTCTGGAGTGGAAAAAGAAGAAGACGACGACGAACAACAAGAATGGTCTTGGGATCTGTGACGCCATTCATTTCTTTTTCCCCTGTTCTTGGTTTTGGTGCAATTTTAGTTTTGTTTTGTTTTTTTTTTTTTTTTTTTTTTTTTTTTTTTATTCAGACATTATTAGGAAAAAAAAGTATACAAATTGAGTTTTTATTCTACAATTTTTCTATGCTATTTTACCAATTTTTATTATATGAAAATTCTAGAATTTGAGTTTGAGTTTAATTTGGATAAAAAAAAAAAAAAAAAGTATACAAATTGAGTTTTTATTCTACAATTTTTCTATGCTATTTTACCAATTTTTATTATATGAAAATTCTAGAATTTGAGTTTGAGTTTAATTTGGATAAAAAAAAAAAAAAAAAGTATACAAATTGAGTTTGTATTCTTCCACTTTGTCCCATCCTATTTTACCAAATTTCTTATTATATTTATATACTAAGTTTAATTTGGATTATATTTAAAATATAATGTAAGAAAACAAAGCTTATACACAAAACCCAAAAGAAAAAAAAAATGCAATAAATTAATATGGTGTGAAACTTAATCCACAACATAATCCCATGTATAATGTATCGTGTTTCTCCCTTTTTTTTGTCTTTGTTCGTTGATTTAATTTTTTCTCGAAACTATAATTAATTTTTTAAATATATAATAATTAAAGTTTAGAATTCGAAATTTATATCGTACATTGTCATATTACTTACTATTTGTTTTTTAAGAGTGAAATGCTATCCCACAAATTAACACGAGCTCTTTCAATATGCTTTGTTTTCACTCATATGTATATCGAGAAAATTCTTAGGAAATCACCTAATGTAGAATAGTTTTAAGTAAAACATATTTAACCATGAAATTCCTACGAATGAGCCACACAAAAAAAGGTGCACTCTGGACTCCTATTTCATTAAACCCAAAAATAATAATAATTCAAAAAAAAAAATTAATAGATATAATATCGAACTTTGACATGTATAACTATGAAGAATCTTTTATAAAGAGAACATCCTATCGAATTACGAACATTTATTTAATTTTTAATTTGATTTGATGTTAAAATATATATAAATATGTTTGAATATTTAATATATAATATAATATTCTATTGTCCATGCATCCATTAATTTAATCATAAAGCCATAAGACAACAATTGATGCTCAAAGTCCTAAGTCAAATTTTATAGAAGAGGAATGTATAGAGCCAAAAATAAGGGACTCTCATGCACGTGACAGCCACGTGAAGGCCAAGGCAGTGCCCTTAATATCCTAGACAATCTTGGTTTTGGGTTCGACATGTCGTCTATATGTTTCCTAAATTCTTCGGATCATTTTTCTTTTTAAGAGAATTAAATAAACTAAGAATATTTAAATCTCTTACTCATTTAGGCTAATTACCATATCTTTCTCTTGGATTAACCAAAGATTTTTCTCGTATTAAATAAAAATGCTAATTAGCAAATTCAATGAATTGGGTTTCTTAACATTTGGTCGAAAGATATATCAAATCTCTTAATTTCGAACCATAATTAAAAGTTATAATTTGGACAAACCAACTAATTTATATAAAGAAAATTAGAGCACAAAGCACCCAAGATACGCTTATTGTACGTACCATTTTCAAATGAACTACACAATCTTGGTTTAAGGGTGGATTGAGTTAAATAATTTAGAATCAATTGAGATTATATGATTAGTTGTTACATGTCTAAAATAGTAAGTCAGGGTCGTGTACGTACGTGTACTAGCCTTGTGTTTGACGAGAATGTTTTGGGCATAGGAGCGGGATCATTATAGTCGTGAAATATTTGTACGTTTTTTCTTCTTCATCACTATACTTCTCAAAGATCAACATAGTGGAGCCTATAGTATGAAAGTGGTGAACATGTTCGTGAAACATATGTATGAAATTGATACATATTTCTGGTTTTATGTTAGTCATGTTGACATGTAGAAAGGTAGTCATCAAACCCAAAGGATTTCTTTTATTCTTGTACATGATATCCTCTCATGTATGGGCCTTAAGTAAGCCCAACTTCAAAAGTGTAATAAAAGCTCTCAGTCATTTTTTATTTGCAACTCATTTCTTTCTTTAAGATATACATTAATACAATATTTATAATTTTTAAAATTGAAACCATACACTTTATTAGTATATGTATTACATTTTATTTCACCTACAATATCTAATTTTATAGGCTCATAGAAATAAATTAGAACAAAAAGTTCAACTACCCTTTAATAATTTACCTCTAACCTACTATATCTAGTTTTGTAGGCTTAAATGAGTAAATCCAACTTAACTCGAGAGTCGAATTATTGCCTAGATCAAAGGTCAAAAGTTAACTTTCGCTCTAATAATTTACAAGTTTGCTCTAATAATTTACTAAGACTCATAAACTCTATCTAGTTTTGTAGGCTTGAATTGAATGAGTAAACTCGAGCATAACTCAAGTCAAGTCACGTCATTACCCCGAGTAGAGGTCAAAAGTCGAAGAGGTTAGAAGTTCAATTCCACTCAAATGGTATGAAGGAAACAAAAATGAAGAGCTAGAATGGTTTTCTTGTTCTTCATCCAAAGTTTGGAGAGGCTACGGAAAACCCTTGTTTTATATTTACCCCACCAAATAACGAATATCACATAGAATTCTTCTAAATTTTATTTTGATCAATTAATAATTATCAGAACATTAACCAAAAAGAAAGAAACAGATACATATATTTGGTTGAATAAATAAAAGCAAATTCAGAACAGTTTGTAGGGAGGTACCCTTTGGAACAGAGAGATGAGTTTTCACCTTTTATTACTTTTTTTTTATCTTCCTCTGCCTATAATTGTTCCCAACATAAACCAGTCTGTGCTAATAATCAGTACAGAGAGAAGAAACCAACCTGCATTTAACTCCACCGCCATTGACAGCCATTGAAGCGCAGCTCCATCCTCCACCGGTTTCAATGGATCATATCCTTCGAATTCCCAGCTACAACAACCAACCCTTGACCCTGATTTCCAATTTGTTCCACAAGCTTCGTTAATTTCGTATGCTTGCTGCACCAGGCTTCCAGCAGCTTTGCCTCTTTGTTCTCTGCGTCTCTTCGCATAGCACTTACTTGCTCTCTGTAATCGCTTTCGATTCTTCCCAAATACGCCATTTCTTCCTCCCTCAACCTCCGTATCTTCGCTTCCATCTCCTCCATTTTCTCTCGCTTCTTTCTCGCTTTCTCCGATTCCAGCTGTTGCTCTAATCGATTCAGTCGCCATGTCGCCTCCTTCTTGTGTTGAAGCCAAATCTGGCGCCCTTCTTCCAACTCCTTGCAGTATAGGACTAAGGCTCCCATCTGCTGAACCGGTAACAATCGGTTCATTTCCGAGTCGAGAACGACCGGTTCGGAGGGAGATAGCGTGAGACTCACCGATGGCGACGGCGTGGTCGACGAGGTGGAAGACGAAGCGGTGCTGGTGGAGTTGACGTTCATCCACAGAGGAAGGACGTTAGAAGACGACGTCGTAGAGTTGACGGATCCGAGCGAGAGGACCGGATCAGCGTCGGGGACGGGAAGGCGAGGCATCAAGTTGGCCAACGGCGGGGGAGGAGGAGGAGATTGAAACGCGGTGGAGTAGAGCTTCGGCTGGACGTACTTCTCAGCGAAGGTTTCCAAAATATGATCGTACGGACCTTGTAGCGCCTTCTCCGGCGAGGAAACACCGGAGATCGAAAGATTCCCGTCGGAATTTTGGTAATCGCGCCTCTGCGTTAGGTTTTGCGCCTTCTGCAACTTCTTAAGTTGCTTCTCTTTAAAAACCTCCCACCACTTGCCGAGGCGCTTGGCCGTACGGCCGGGAACCTCGGCAGCGATCTTCTTCCACTTATTGCCGTACTTAGCCTGAAGAGAGATGACGAGAGTCTGCTCCTCGGGAGAGAGGGAGCCTTTCTTCAAGCCAGGTTTAAGGTAATTCTTCCAGCGCTCCAGACAGGATTTAGGATCGCGATGGAGAGGTTTCCCCATACGCTGAGAGATGAGATTCCATTCTTTAGGGCCATATTGCTTGACGTAGGCTCGTAGGAGTGCGTCTTCTTCCGGCTGCCAGCGCTGGCGGTCCTTCATTTCATCGCCACCATAGCTGCAGTGAGAATAAGCTCAAATGGCAGAGATGGAGACGGAGCTCATTGTAGAGAGAGAGAGAGAGAGATGGGTGAAGGTGAAGAGGACGAAGGAGGATGATGATGCGTACTGTTGTTATTATGGAGCTCCGATGCTCTGCTGAAATCTATTTCAGACTCCACGCGCCTTTTTCCAATTTTTCACGCGCCTCTATTTGGCTCAATCCTCAAACCAGTGACAAATTTAAAGGTTTTATTTACGTTTTTTAACTTTTCTTCTAACTTTTTTACTTTATTTATTTTCTTCTGGTCCCAAATTTCTGCACATTCCTCTCATTTTATTTTTTATTTCTCGAAAAAAAAAAAAAGAATTTGAATATAATTTAATAGATAAAATACATAAATATTTTGCATAAAATTAAATTGCAATAATTATTTAACCAATTAAATTTTTTACTATTATGATCTTGATTTTACAATTTAATTCATTCTCTTTTAGTTTTATTTTATTTTAATATGCAAATTAATAAAATAAGTACATACAAAAACAAAAAATAAAGTAAAGCGTCTCTTTATTATTATTATTTTTTTACAATTATTGGAAAAATACGAATAAATAGTTTGTCTAATATTGACCGACAATTTTTTTTAATATTTATTTTCTCCGGAAAAAATAAAAAAGAGTAAGAATTAAAACATAGAAAAGGGCAAAAGTAATTACAAATCAAATTAGCATAATTCATAATCCAACAATTGAAAAAAATGAAATATAGAAGAGTGAATAATTAGAATGGGCCCACAGTTTTTGGAATTCTGTCCTTCTTTTTTTTCAATTTGTTGTTATCGTAAACGTGAATAATGCAACAAATGTTGTGGAAATTTCTAGTGCCAATTTATCTGTTTATAGTTAATTTAAAAAATAAAATAATAGAAATAAAATTGGAAATAATAATAATAATAATAATAATAATAATAATAATAATAATAATAATAGGGAAGGCGGTGGGGGTGGGTGTCAGAGGAAGGTGGTGGGTATTGGTTTTGGAGCAGCGTGAGTGGTGTGGTGTGGCAGATGATACACATACCCACTCAGAATCTCAGAACTGACTGGACAACACTCCCCCACCACCACCCAATTCAAAAATTTTAGAACCCCATTTATTTTTAAATATCAGATATTTATTTATTTACTAGTGGTGAGTTTGAATTATATAATAATAATAATAATAAGTATTTAAATAAAATCTAAACGGGTCCGGTTGAGTTTGAATTGGGTGGGAACAAATAACAATACAACGCATTTTTCGGATCTGCACGAGAAGGCGTGCACAGTCCTCTGCCCCACAGTGGCATAGTAGCCCTTACCCCTCCCTTTTCTCTTTCTCTGGATCGTCTGCTTTTCAATTTTTATTTTTATTTTATTTACGTATGAATATTAAGTTGCTGCATAATAAATCAATATTAATGAATCTTTTTATATTAAAAATTAAATTCTTAATTTTTTTAAGAAATTTTGTGACATTTGAATTAGAAATCTTTGTTTTAGGGCTGTTTGGTATATATTATTGACTGTATTTATAAGCCTCTAATATTATTTTTATTTTAAATCTTATTAATTTGGTTATGTTTTAAAATTATTGGAATGCATGTCAAGATGTTTGGTTTTAAATAATTTTTCAAAAGGAAACTTATTAAAGGTTCAGGAATGCAATTTGATCGAATAAAAAAATTATGTTAAAAATTGATAAAACATGACAAATTTGGAGGGGAAGTTTACTATTTTGCCACCCAAAAGTCTAAAGCAAGACACGTTAAAGGTACAGACACGAAGCGCACAAAAGTTTGATGGAGAGAGAGAAACAAGGGCTGAAAAGTAAAATGATTATAATTAAATGTTTAACACCGTACATTTAAATAGTTTATGAAATTATTATAAATTTATTTTTATTTATCCTCTACCATTGCACATATTAATTGACTAAGTTAATGATATTGTAAATTAAAATTTATATATAATAGAATCATGAATTTAGAGTTAATTAAAAAAATAAAACCATATATTAAACAATGACAAGTAATTTTGGAGATTAAACTTCCATTAGTTATTATATAGAAAAGGGTTTAGATGTATTGGAGTTTAATGGCTTGGTGTCTCGTTTCTCTCTCTTTCTTTACCTTCGTCTGCAACTAGAAATGGAAGAATCCCTTCAATTTTGACCACCCAATTGAAACTTTCGACTTCCGGGTCTTGCATTTCTCAATCGTACACTAACCAAGTGGAGCAGCCAAATCCCAAACCCAAACCCAAACCCAAAGCCCTGAGTTAAGGTTTCTTAACCCAAATCAAAAGAATGCTTCCCTTGAATCTTCATCTTCTTCTTCTTCTACAGCCCCATCGACTCCTCTCTCTTTGAAAGGATTTAAGCGTTTCTGGTGTTAAGATCCTCTAATGGTTGTTGTACAGGCCACCAAGCTTAGCCTCCCTAACCCTTCTCTCTCTTCCCCTCAAATCACTTCCTTTCTCTTTGAACCCCATTCTCTTTCTCTTGCTCTAATGCACTCTGATTCTTCTTTCTCTCTCTACCCTTCATTTTCCCCTTTCTTTCTCTCCTCCCTTCCGTCCCCTCAACTGGTTGTGCCTTCTCCCTCTTCTTCTGCGGCCTTCGTTGCGCTTCTGAATTCTGATTCCAACTCTGATTCTAAAGTTCTGTTTGTGGTCTCTGGCCCCCATCAGGGCGGCTCTCGAATTCTCCTCCGGTTTTATGTTTTGGAGACTTGTAATTTGTTCAGGAGAGTTCGAGTTGTTTGCACGCAGAAGGATCTTCGATCTGATCATAAATTGGGTGTTTTGGTTAATTTTAAACATGGGCTTTCGGTTCGTTTAGCTGGGTCGGTCAATTTCTTCGCCATGTACTCTATTTCGAGCTCCAAGATATGGGTTTTTGCGGTGAAGATGGTGGCCGGCGGTGATGGTAGGGATGATGTGATGGATTTGAAATTGATGAGGTGTGTTGTGATTGACTGCTGCAAACCCATTTGGTCGATTAGCATTTCGTTTGGGTTTTTGCTTTTGGGGGAAGATAATGGAGTTAGGGTTGTTAATTTGAGGCCTTTTGTGAAAGGGCGTGGTCGAAAAGTTAGAAATCTGAATGCCAAACGTGAAGTCCATAAGTCATTTTTGCCTCATGGAGAAGTAGTTTATGGAACTTCTGGTGGTACCGACTTGAACGGTGGTTCCCTTTTTGTTGGCAACAATGGACTCAACGAACATGCCAGTAAAAGTGATGCTGCTCAAAGTTCAGCCATTTGCAATGGATCCTTGGATGGGAAGTTGGACAAACATTTTGATTCTGGTGAGTTAAGAAATCTATATGACATTTTTTTTTTATTAGCCATATTGGTCGTGTATCCTGGAATTTGGCTAATACTTTGTTGATTTTTTATTCGTTCTGAGAGTTTAATCACAAGTTTAATCCCGGGAGCATTCGCTATGCGTAAGAGTAATTCAAACACTAGGCGTTTGCTGGACTGTGGTGGTTAATTGATGATTATCGTATGTTAACAATGATTTCTTTGTAGGAATTTATCCTTGAACTTAAATTGTGGTAGGAGTTTATTGAGTCTGATCACAGATTGAAAATAATTTATCAGCTTCCATTGGCTTGATACGTGCTGAAGTTTGAGACTGAGCGATAAAAGTTTGAGGAGTTTGGAACAATGCTTTATTCGAAGTGAATGCTTTTAGTAACTGCAGGAGTGTCCAAGAAAGCTTGCTTCATTATAAATGAAGGAGACGAGAGAAATCTATCGAGTTGGTATCGAGTTGCTGCATTGGTAGGGGAGGTTGAATTGAAACAATATCTAAATCGAGATTTCTGCCAATTATAATGTGAAGCTCAATGATCCATGGGATATGAAATAAAGCCTTCCTTGTTGGGTATCGCAGATAGACATATCGTTTTTTTTAGCTGATTCATTTTGGATGGATACATGCAACATTTCTTTAACTGTGGCCAGCTACCTGATTTGCACTCAAAATACTTTTCATGACAACAACATATGTTTGATCTATTATATTAGCTAACGACTTGTTTTTTAGGTTTTCCTTATATGGCCCGGACATGGGTGCTGAAGGTGCCGTCCTTTGGTTTATTTCATAAGGATGCCTCTAGATGGTAAATTACTGATTGTTAAAGAGGTTTAACTTGGATAGTTCATTCATATCTAAAAAAAACTTGGACAGTTCACCTATTTTCCACTTGAAACGAAATCCTTAGCTGGAGTGACGATCTTTGTTTTTCAATGTCTATTGTATTATTATTATTGCTATAATTTCTGGATCTCGTTCATGCCAAAACATTGTAGTTGTCAAGTTGTTGGCATATGCCTCTGATCGTGTATTTTTAATTGCAGTGAGATCAAGATCTGTAAAATTGAGACAAGATTCGAGTGAAGGAGGACTATATTTTGTGGCGCTGAAGGGCAGAGGAATTGAAGAACTGAGATCTGCAAAAATGATGCCATTAAAGGCATTATCAATTCAAGCACTTTCTCCCAGGAAAATCTTAATCCTGGACTCTGTTGGTGGTTTACATCTGCTGCACCTTGCTAGCAGTGCTACTGGATCAGATTTTTCTTACAACATTCGACCATTGCCTCATCTAATGAAAGTTCAAACGCTGACCAGCGTTCCTGATACATCCATAAGTATGCTTGTCCGAATTCTATGTTCTATACGTTTCTTCTCTTTGCTACCTTTTCAAAGGATTCTCCTTGTTTTTAGTCATTCTATTAGGTGCTTGAAAGAGAGAAAAAATATACTGGAAGGTTGGCCGAAGTAGTTTGTACAAGTGTGAGCCTTGGAGGAACCCCAAGATGCCCAATTTGATTGGGCCACTATGTTGCATTCTCTGTAGGCAGGTGTCAAAGGACATCGATCATATCCTATGGAGCTGTAATTTACCCCATGCTGTTTAGAGCAAACAAGGAGTTCGGCTTGAGTTTGAATAGACATAGGGGTTTCAAAGAGATGATTGAGGAGTTTAGTCTCTACCCTCCATTCCCGAGAAAGAAAGGTTTTCGTGGCAGGCTACGGAGTGTGTTGTTTTATGGGGCCTGCGAAGGGAAAAGAATAATAGAGTCTTTTGAGGGCTTGAGAGGTGTTAAAGTGATGTTTGGCTTGTTGCTATTTCACAACTCAGAACTAATAGAAATATAATACTTTTGCAGGG